TCACTGGAGCAAGCAAGCCTCCTGTTCACTTCAGCTGCCTGGCAGCCGGCCGCCATCTTGGTTGGCAGTTAATTTGCATATCGCCCTGATTAGCCAATGGGAAGGGTAGCGAAGTTACGGTTAATTACCATGTTTCTCTTTTATTAGATAGGATTGGACTTTAAATTTCATGAAGGCTGGGTTAAGGGCCTATCAGGTTCACCACTGCAAATAACACAGAGATGGGAAGATAGCTGGGGCTTAATGTTGGTGCAAAGAGGCCATTAGGTGCATATTCTGAAGAAAGAACTGGCACCAAAACTATCATGGGAGAAGTTTCAGGCATTTATTTGTATATTTAAAAATACTTATTATGTAGTTTGTTATCTGTCCTGAGGATATAAAGAAAAATAATCTTGCCCTAGCCCATTTGGCTCAGTGGATAGAGCGTCAGCCTGTGGTTCGTTTCCCATCAAAGGCTCATGCCTGGGTTGCGGGCTCGGTCTGATGTGCAGGACGCGGCCAATCAGTAATTCCCTCTCATCATTAATGTTTCTATCTCTCTCTTCCTCTCTGAAATCAATAAAAATATATTAGAAAAAGAAAAATAGTCTTGTTATAGTATTGCACATGATTTGAGTAAGATTGCTACTTCACTCTTGAGTTTTCTGTGTCCTTTGTGGGTGCATAGATTTGTTGCTTTATGTGATGCTAAGCATATATTGTTTACTCTGTGTAGCCTGGGAGTGTTACAAATAGAAGCGAAATTAGAGCTTCGAAAACTTTAAAAATTTTTGAAGCACACTTGGTTGTTAAAAGGAATATTAAAAATGACAGGCAGATATGTCCTATACCTCAAAGTTTAGTAATTAAATTCACCTTTAAAATTACAAAGAAAACTATTAGAGGACTATCTTAGCCCAGACATTTATCTCTCTTCAGAAAACAGGAACTCAGACAATTCCTAAATTTTAACGGTCTATTAAATCCGAATACCACATTAACAATGGTATGAAATTATTGAGATCAATAATTAGTTTTCGACAATGTTTCATAGCTTCACCTGAGAAAAGACAAGCTCTCCACCCCCTTTTACTTCTCATTCATATGCAGTATCACATTAAGAATGAAAAATACATGTCAAAACAATCTTTATGTGTAGTTTATTATATATCAATTATACTTCAATAAAGCTTCTAAAAAAACACAAACAAAACAAACAAAAAAGATAAAAATTCTACTTTATAGGGGACAAATAAAGGAATTGCTTCATTTATTTCTTCAGAGCGGTTACTTCTGGGGAACAACAAAGTATCTCCACAGAGCCTGGTAACCTAAGGAAGCAAATTTTATCTATTTTTTTTTTTTTTTTTTTTTTTTTTTTTTTTTAGACTACATGTTTATTTCTATCTTTACGCGGTGGAAAAACAAAACAAAACACCGTTTTAGTAGATTATATTATGCTGCAGTTGCACGGCAGAATTAGTTGAATGCTCTGTGCTTGTAGAGTATCATTTCCAGCCTCCAAATAGGATTTTAGAAGCTTGGGAAAGAGCCTTAGAGTTGAAATATACACATTTTCCCGACGTGCCCCGAACAGCGTATTCTTAGGCTGTTTCAAAGTGTGTAATGACCAGAGGGGGCTCCTCAAAGATCTCTTCCAAATCCTCTCTCTCTCTCTCACACCCCTCTCTCAATAAAGACCTTTTCCTGGGGATTCAACTCAAGAGAGCCAGCTTAGGTGTTGTTTTTTATTATTATTATTTTTTAGCCTAGGTGTTTTTGTTGGCGGATGTGGGCAGCAGCATGCTGAAGTCGCCTCGAGCGACTCTCCCGAGGTTAAGGGTAAAGTCGGAGTCCCCCCCACCCCGCTCAGTGCGGGGAGACAGCGGCCGCAGCAGCTGGCCCCGCCCAGGCTCTGGGGAGCACCTGAGCCTGGAGCGGCGAAGGGGATGGGGAGGGCAGGGAGCCTCCGCCCCGCTGGGCCCCCACCCCGCCGCAGGGGAGGGCGGGAGGAGGATGATTGACAAAGCTGATCAGTGGCTAGGGGGCTCGAAGAGGGCGGGGCGAAGCGGGGCCGGCTGAGCTTTCCCCTTAAACGGTTGGGTTGGGCCTCGGGAACGGCCTCCCCAGGCCTCCCGGCCTCCCAGAATGGGTTGTTATGGTAACAAATGACCGAACAGTCCCTTACGAACTGGCCAATGAGAGGGCCCGTCTTTTCCACCGCACCTCTGAGCCCGAGGTGTTGCGAAAGCCCGGGTGCGGGCGGCGAGCGGACGGTGCCCGGACGTTCTGCGGAAGAGCGGGGGCGGGGCTTGTGACGGCACCACGACCAGCCTACCACGCTCGTTCTTGCTCAACGGCCCCGCCCCTTTACCGCACATTTCCCCTCCCCTAGCTCATTTCGCACGACGCAGCGGTTGGGAACACAGACATTTTCGGAGCTGGAGCCGCCTGCGCCGGCGCCATTTTGTGCCTGTGGAGAAAGAGGCTCCAGAGGCGGCTGGAAGTGGACGGAGATCACCCGTGAGAGGGCGGCGTTGCGTCCCCGAGGTCCCCCCCGTGTCGTCCCCCAACCCCCCTCCGCGG